AGGTAAATCTACTTATAAATATGTGGCACCAGGTAAGTCTTGAATGTAGTTTTCTCCCTGCATGTAAAAAGTGTCCATGGCTCTTTTCACTATTAAATTACTCCTGTTGTAATCTCCTCCGGCTTGTTAACCGTTGTAGCAGACCGGCCCGACTTGGAAACCGAATTTCTGGTTCCCCTTCCCAAAATCTGGCACGGCCACGTCGATGATTGGGAGCGTGGTGGACAGTGGAGCGTCAAATTCAAACAACGTCCTCTCCTGCCCCGAGCGCGTCTACAGCAGAAAAACACATTTAAATAAAAAATCAGTTGATGTGTTCACACCAATAAATACATCAAGGCTCAAAGGGGCCGTATTCTGTTTATTTTCAGGTTCATATTTGTATTTTGTGTCTCTACTGAGATATGTCATATATTTGAATGGTGACCTATCATGCAAAATGCACTTTTGTACGTCTTTTCTACCTGAACATGTGTCCCCGGTGTTCCAGGGAACTCACCAAGTGTCAGAAAACACAACCCTCTCTATTTTCCTCCATACCCAAATCTCTTAAAAAGGGGCTGCAACGGATCTGATACAGACTGATCCAGATTTGAACACTTCTATGACGTCACAGAAGTGGCGCTACGGCTATTGGGCCAACTCCACCAATCAGGAGGAGACAGCCACGGACATTGCCGTTCAAAGCGCTGGAGACGCTGTAGTACATATGCCAGGCCTGTAGATGGTGCTGTTCTCACAGAATCAGCCCATGCAAAGACAGTGTTAAATTGAGCGAAATGAGGAATGGCTAAAATGCATGATCTGTTTGGTATTTTGAAAAATAAAAAGTATAAATATGCCTTATATAGGTATGGTCCTACACTATATTATTCAAATATAGCATGATAGGTCCACTTTAAGTGTTTTATTTACTATGTGAATGTATTTGTACACATTTCATACAATTCACTCCAATAACACCTACGCTAAACTTATGAAATGAGGGGTTTCTTATTCAAAGTGAATAATATCCTATTCATTTACTTATTTACAGAGATGAAGGCCACAGTCAATCCACGGAGAAGCAAACATACATATAGAGACTCTTAGCGTGCATATCTTTGAGAATGTTTTAGAAGTGTTTGGGTCTTACGGTGCTCACATTGCTCATGAGGCCTTTGAAGAGCACCAGCTCTGCCTTCAGCTGCTGGACTCTGACAGCCAGCTCGTCCTGACAGCCCTCGCTCTCCTGCAGGTCCTGCACACAGGAGAGAAACACATGAAGAACAACAACAAAAACACACTCCTACACACAAACACATCGATTAACTGGAAAGTAAAGAAGCAGGAGGGCGTCAACACAATAAAAGCCTTTATCTGCAAAGTGCATGAAAAAAAAAAATGGATATCTTGAATTCATAATCTCCTGAGGTGATCTCTAGATGTTTCTGATGGGACAAGAAGTATCTGTTCTTCCTGTTGACTTGATTCACACGTGCAACAGTATAAGTCAGGAGGACCCTTCTCGGTCTCAGCTGTGTTTTTCTGCTTGTGGTCTTGCGTCGCGTTGCTGCTAGCGAAACGGGGTCAGGTAAAGATTCCTGGCAATGTTCAAACACACAAGACATCTGCAAACACACACACACCTAGCTACCCACACACTCACAGGAAATGATAGGGTTTATAAAAGACACAGCTGCAGGAAACACAGTAGCTAACGGTTTGATATAAAAAGTACAGGGACAGCATTTAGAGAACACCAGAGGCAAAGTAAGGTGTTTCAGTTCCCAAAGAAAACACATATCTTAAAACGCACAGGAGTATAGAAAGCAATGAAAACATTTTTAACCACAGTTATTAACAAACACAGAAAACAATGTTTAAAACACAAACAATATATATGTATAGGAGCTTCTGGATGTGGTGACGCGTAGTGTTGCTAGATAATATGTTTAGAGTCAGAAGAGTAGGTTTTCATCTACTTTTAATTACTTGTATTAATTTAACTGTGATATAATGTCTTGCTATTTGCTACTTTAAGTGTTTGCCGTTTTTGTTGTCTGCAATGTTCAATGTATTTATTCAAATGTCTTGGTTTCTGATGAGTGAAATAGAGTAAGACAAGCTGTTTATGAATGAAAATGTAAATGGCTAGAAAGAGTTGGAAAGAGAAGCTCTGTTTAAAACATTTTTTGAAATAGGTGAACTGTATATTCTTGACTAGAAGACTATAGCCACACAAAAAATAGAAGATGTCTGTAACTCTGAAATGATAACTGTTGTTGCACTTTTAATCAGATTATGGTCAGTGGTATAAAAGCAATTATATAGGAGTGCATGAGCTCTGTATGAGTCACTGTGTGTGATTCATACTGTACAAAGGAAGCAGTCTGCAGTGTGAGGGCTGCAGAAACTCACTGATTGTTATCAGAGAAATGAAAAGCCTCGTCTAAAATATGTAACCACTAGCTGTGTGATTATTCATGTTGATAGGGCAGGAAAACACACCGCGTATGCTCAGGGTATTTTAAGTTGAGATAAGCCTCAACTGAAGCATCATGTCCAATAGTTTATTATAGTTTGAATGACTCAGGCTGATGTCAACGCTGCAAATACAAAGCTCAGATACCTTCAGTTCTCACACACACACACACACACACACACACACACACACACACACACACACACACACACACACACACACACACACACACACACACACACAGAATGTTACCTCTTGCAGGTCAGTCATTTTCTGCTCCATGTCCATCCTCATGGTGTATTCCTCTTCCCATCTGAAAGACACAAAGAAATAAGAATCAAACACTATTTGAGTGCGTTGTAAAGCAAACACATAGGCCATGTTTTCAACGTGCACAAATGATCTGTTTATGCTTTTTTATTTATATATTTTATAGATTAACTTAGAAAGACACTAATCCATAATTTAGCTATTTCACAAAGTGGAAAAGCCAAAAGACTGACTCACTATTTCCAGATGTTAAACAATAGTGAGCCCAAGATGGATGAGACTGTTAAACATGGGTTTGAACAATGTTGGATAAAGAGCTGCAACAATGAATCTGAAAAATTCAAGCCAATTGTTTTGGTTATTAAAAAATTGTAAAGCATTATTTGATGCAAAAAAAATTGAGTACATTAGCCTTTAAAACATTTGATGCTTTACTCTGTTTTGTTTCATATAAAAAGGGAATATTTTTGGGTTCTGCGATAACACAATACGACTTTGGACATGTAGAAACTGGGATAGACATTTTGTCTTGACATTTTATAGACCAAACGATGAATCTAGAAAATAATCAGAAGATTATTATTGGTTATGAAAATAAGAGTTAGATGAAGCTCTAGCTGGATGGGAAACTCAGGGGCCGTTTCTCAATCTCGAGGAAACTGGCTTCCAAGCCAATATTTCAAGGATGCTACGTCATCGAGTGCCGCCGAAGGACTGTTCCAATCTCCAGCATACTTGGAATTCCACCCAGGCTGCGTCCTTGGTTTGGGGGAAATTTCGAGGCTGCACATGGGTAGACTTCGCGTCCTTAAAATCCCCACAATGCTTTGCGCACGGACCAATTTCAAAAACCCTTGCGGAGAATGGCTGAACCGACGCAGCACACATTTAAATGTAAGTATGTAGTGGCGTAGAGCATGTGTTGGTAAATAAGTTACTTTGTTACATTTGTTATCACCAAAAATGTGTTCCGTGAAAGTAAAGCAAGTTCATAATTAGATAGACATCGTGAGGTATTTATTTTCGGTACAGTTTATGTTGAAACCGTTAGAGAGAGTGGCACACTTGTTAGCCTGTTCCATTCTTCTTCGTTTTCCGAAGCCGTGGCTTGGAAGCATACTTGCTTCGTATCTGAAGGAAGTGACTTGGAAGTACGCAACTACCAAGCCAGCATCCGCATTGCTTGTTAGCACATGTACCTCCGAGTGAGTTCCTTAAGAAGCCTCGGAAAACGAAAAATGTAAGGACGAAGGTGTGCGTCATATGAGAGGACCCGCCTTACATTTTCCGCCAAAGATTTGGGAAATTGGTCCGTGCGCAAAGCATTGTGGGGATTTTAAGACCGCGGAGTCTACACATGTGCAGCACCTTAGAGAAGTAGGGGGAGAATGTGGAGGGGTGGTGTAGGGGAAGAGACAGAGTACATATGGGGAGTGTGAAGGAGAGAGGAAGAATAGGGTGACGCGGAGGGTGGAGGGGAGTGAGATAGACGTTACGTCGGTACGCGCGTTTGTCAATGACGACCCCCCCCGAACCGGAACGTGTTCCTACGTGAAGAGGTGAAAGACAAGCGAGAGGGGAATGCTAGTGGTCGTAGGATCAGATGTTGTATTTGTTAGGAAAGAAAGTACTGAGTCAAAGAGAGTCCAACAAAGGGGACTTCCAGGCGTACACGGCGTCGTGAAGCGTAAATTTCGTCTGCAATATATTAAGTTTGACCGTCTCTCGTGCCAGAGAGACCCTGGTACACGGCCACTGTCAGTGACTTAGACTCTATGGTACGTACAGCGGACGTGGCCGGTCGGTCAGCAGTACAAATAACCGACGGGTATCGCCCGTTTATTAATAGTTCGTCGCCATAACTAGTCTTCTCACTCAGTCGTTTAGAGAGTAGTTAACAAAGACAGATGTGGATTAAAGGAAAGTGATTCATAATAGGATTTAACCTTAAAGTGATTTGACGAAGGTATAACTTCCAGTCTAGTGTCCGTGAAACTTTAGTTTACGGCTTACACCAACAACATTTATTTCTTAGGTCGTGTACTGTTGGTTGGTGAAGTACAACAAGGCGGGCTACATATATGGCTGACATCTTCGGTAACTGGCTCAAGTAATATATGCAATAAGAAAAAGAAAATTAACAACAGAAAATAATAATATGTACGCCAACAAGAGTACAGCTCCTTCCTACGAGGTCGCGGCGTGTAAAGTTCTTTATGATGCAGGTAGCTCACGGCGGCTTGCGTGACAAGGTTACAGGAAGTATAACTCTTTAAGATGGCTCCGGCCCCGCATGAAGCAACCGCCCTTTA